CCAAGCCCACCTGTTCGATTCAACTGTTCTCTCTGCTCTTTGCTACGCAGCAGAGATGTGGCCTTACACTGTGGCTACACCAAAGGCTCTCCGAACAACCCACAGAGCGCTGGAACGACGTCTTCTGAAGTGCAACCGGCGCACTCAACATCTTGTCGGACTTCGCAGTTCAGAAATGAGATCGTCTCGTCTTCGCGATCCAGCGGAATACCTCTCTAAGGCAAAGCATCGATGGGCTGGTCATTTTATGACAAGGACACACGACAAATGGACACTAACTCTGGAATGGATTCCCCGTGAAGCAGAACGTCCTCGAGGGAGGCGACCGACCAGCTGAGCTGACGTGTTTGCCGGATGGACCAGCTGAATTCTCAGCTGTAACGAGTAATGGATCTGGACCTTGCAAACGTCGCCGCCGCAGTTCAATACCAACATCGTGGGTGATGCTAGCGAGAGACAGAAACGGATGGAAATAGTGCTGTAGCCTGCACGAAAATGAAGACAGGCCATCTATGTATCTAAGTAAGTAAGCGCCAATTGCAAACTGAGCTGGTATGACCTGTGTCGCAAAACCCTCACTACTGACTAACACGCTTTTTGCTCTCCATTGAAGGGAATGAGTAGGACATATGATGTAACACGCTGTAGGATGAACCTTGAAGTGATACTGTACTTTTGATGATTCATACAGTATATAATTACGTTACTTATCGTTCTCAAATATTTATTTCTAAGCATGATCGCATCACTAACATACAAACAAAAATTCAAGAAGCGGTCATCTACCAAGGGCTGATAGGACTGGATGGATTCTGTCGAAGTGGCTATGCTTTAAACTGGGAGGCGGTGGGAGGCGATTGGTCGGTACGGGAAGACTTACACTCCTTCAAATTTTCTTTTCCAAAAGCTAAAGGAGAGTTAGGGTTATCATTTGCCGTCATGCCTTTTTGTTCTTGACAATTTGCTGTTCTACTTTTTGAAAAGTGGAGAAAACGATGTATGAACCAAAGCCTTATTAAGCACCGGAAATTATGTTACTGAAGAGTTGGAATGGAAATCGAGCTGAAAATCACATTACATAATTGACACTCACCGAAAAGCTACTGATACGGGTAAGAAGAGAGTAAAGAAGGCGTTTTTGTGAAAGAGAGTATTCTGGGAGTTCCATGGTGAGTATGTTCCTGTAGAGAGAAAATTGCTATTTTAAAAGAATTTTTTTTACTACGTTATTTCAATGTGTTCTATGCCAATACGAGGTTTTGAGTTTTTATTATCAGTGGCCTTACGTTTCGAATAATCGTCGTCTTAGGGGCCTAAAGTGAGGTAATTTTGGTGA